ACAAAAAGAATGCAGATGTAATTATACAGACTTTGCAAAAAGCCTTCGAAAAGTGTGACCATGGCGTAATAGCGCACAAAATGCGTGCTAAAGGAATAACAGGAAAGTCGGTCGATGGATCTATAATTTCCTCACAAACAGAAACAGAGAGTAGTCGTCACAGAGTAAAGTCCGAGGCAGCTACGGTGAAAAGCTCTGTTCCACAAGGCACAGTACTCGCTCCCATCTTGTTCCTCATCCTTATATCCGACATAGACAAGGATGTCACCCAACAGCACCGTGTCTTCCTTTGCAGATGACACCCGAATCGCATTGACAGTGCCCTTCCATTGCAGACACTGCAAAGCCCCAGGCAGACATCAACCAAATCTTTCAGGGGGCTGCAGGAAAACAATATAAGTTAAACGATGAGAAATTTCAATTACTCAGATATGGTAAACATGAGGAAATTAAATCTTCATCAGAGTACAAACAAATTCTGGCCAAAAAATTTGAGCGAAACACCAACGTCAAAGACCCTGGGAGTGATCATGTCGGAGGATCTCACCTTCAAGGACCATAACACGTATCAATCGCATCTGCTGAAAAATGACAGGATGGATAATGAGAACCTTCAAAACTAGGGAGGCCAAGCCCATGATGACACTCTTCAGGTCACTTGTTCTATCTAGGCTGGAATATTGCTGCACACTAACAGCACCTTTCAAGGCAGGTGAAATTGCCGACCTAGAAAATGTACAGAGAACTTTCACGGCGCGCATAACGGAGATAAAACACCTCAATTATTGGGAGCGCTTGAGGTTCCTAAACCTGTATTCCCTGGAACGCAGGAGGGAGAGATACATGATTATATACACCTGGAAAATCCTAGAGGGACTAGTACCGAACTTGCACACGAAAATCACCCACTACGAAAGCAAAAGACTTGGCAGACGATGCACCATCCCCCCAATGAAAAGCAGGGGTGTCACTAGCACGTTAAGAGACCATACAATAAGTGTCAGGGGCCCGAGACTGTTCAACTGCCTCCCAGCACACATAAGGGGGATTACCAACAGACCCCTGGCAGTCTTCAAGCTGGCACTGGACAAGCACCTAAAGTCAGTTCCGGATCAGCCGGGCTGTGGCTCGTATGTTGGTTTGCGTGCAGCCAGCAGCAACAGCCTGGCTGATCAGGCTCTGATCCACCAGGAGGCCTGGTCTCAGACCGGGCCGCGGGGGCGTTGACCCCCGGAACTCTCTCCAGGTAAACTCCAGGTATTCTGTTTCATTATTATTTACTGTGCGTTTGCGTGCATGAGGATATATCTTCCCTATTGCAAAAAAAAAAAAATTACATGAAGTATACCATGCAGGAGCATTAGAGTCTGGGCAAAATTATAAGAAAACTGTGGATTTTCCAGTAGGTAGATGGCGTTGTCTAACCACACAGCTGATAGTGAGGTAACCATCCTGCTAATGGTGAGGTATTATGCAGTATGCTGCATTTAAAATGTTGTACAAATTTATATAAGAAATAACGCTTCATATATAATGTCATTTTCTGGGTATTGTACTGAAAGCGGGCGGGTTTTATTCCTGTGAGTCAGGCAGAGTGGCCAGGACAGGAGCAGATGAGGTGTGTTAGGCAGTAGGTTACGCACAGCAGAGGAAGTAAGATGTAGTGGTGTAAGTATGTGGTGTTGGGTAAGGGTTTTCTTAGTGTATACTTTAATTCTGTTAGTGTTTAAGTGCTTTCAGATTTATTTGTAAGGTCCTAGTATGCAGAGGCCTGTTTATGTGAGAGTACTGTATGATGTTTTGCCTGCTGGTATACCAGGAAGAAGGGAGGGGGATCATGAAACTGCCCTCTTTATATAGTTTGTCTAGTCGCTAGCAGCAGTTTCCTAGTGAGCTGGAGTGTGGTAGTTTATAAGTTGTATATAAGATACTTATTAACAGATATATATATTTTGCATATAAGTGAATTTTTGTGTCCTTCCATATACTATATTAATTATTTGCACTCGTGCTTCATAATTTGTATGAGTACATGCTAGCCCGAGAGTTGCTGTGTTTTTCAGTGTAATTTAAATGCCCGTAGACAGATTGAGCAGCCATTTAGGAGCCAGGACATTTTATTTAAGTTACGATATCAAAGTCTTAACATGATGTAACTATACAATTGGTGAGGTCATCATACAGCTGATGGTAAATAAACATAAAAGATAGAGAGGAACCATATTGTAGATGAATGGTTCAGAGAACCGACATGTAGTTGAATTAGACACATGTGCAACTCTTGGGTATCTTTACTGAGGAAACGTTTCGCCACACAGTGGCTTAATCAGTCCATACAAAGGAGAAACTTGAAGAACAGGAGGAGAATGAGGTAATCAGTCCCTCAGCCTTTAGTCTATGTGGTCAGTCCATGGACTAACCACATCGACTAAAGCCTGAGGGACTGATTACCTCATTCTCCTCCTGTTCAAGTTTCTCCTTTGTATGGACTGATTAAGCCACTGTGTGGCGAAACGTTTCCTCGATAAAGATACCCAAGAGTTGCACATGTGTCTAATTCAGGAACCATATTATTGAATTTCGAGTGAGACGAATAATGCAAATTTAATGCAGATAAATGCCAGGTAATAAAGATGGGAGAAAGCAAAACCATGCTACAAAAAATCAGGCAATAAACAATAAAATAAGATAGAAGTAGGACTTAATAAAAATTAACAATACATTGTCTTCGGATGATCACCTGTAAATGATAGTGAAAGAAATTCATATGCTAAATTGGCTGACCATAAAATAGCTTTGAAATATTTGTTTATAGAAATAGTGAAAAGGTATTTTTTTTTACAAAGTGTGAATGGCAAAAAAATGGAATGTGTATCAGATGAGCTACAAAATGGCCACTAGAGCTAAAAAAAAATATGAGTTATGATGAAAGATAATCAACTTTAACGATCAAAAAAATAAAGATGCAGATCCAAATATCATATATTTATTTAATTTTATATATTTATTTATTTAATTTCTATGTAGTGTCTGCGCTCTCTCTCTCTCTCTCTCTCTCTCTCTCTCTCTCTCTCTCTCTCTCTCTCTCTCTCTCTCTCTCTCTCTCTCTCTCTCTCTCTCTCTCTCTCTCTCTCTCTCTCACACATACATACATTCACACATACATACATTCACACATACATACATTCACACATACATACATTCACACATACATACATTCACACATACATACATTCACACATACATACATTCTCACATACATACATTCTCATACATACATACATTCTCACATACATACATTCTCACATACATACATACATTCTCACATACATACATACATTCTCACATACATACATTCTCACACACATACATACATTCTCACATACATACATACATTCTCACATACATACATACATTCTCACATACATACATACATTCTCACATACATACATTCTCACATACATACATACATACATACATTCTCACATACATACATTCTCACATACATACATTCTCACACACACACATTCTCACACACGCATACACACACACACACGCATACACACACACACACACATACACACACACACACACACATACACACACACACACACATACACACACACACACACATACACAGAGTTGTCAGGAAATGGAATAGTCTGGAAAGTGAGGTAGTTGAGGCAGGAACCATACATAGCTTTAAGACGAGGTATGATAAAGCTCATGGAGCAGGGAGAGAGAGGACCTAGTATCGGTCAGTGAAAAGGCGGGGCCAGGAGCCGAGTCTCGACACCAACAACCACAAATAGGCGAGTACACACACACACATACACACCACACACACACACACACACACACACACACACACACACACACACACACACACACACACACACACACACTCAGGAGAAGAGGAATCAAGAAGGAACTTTAGCACAGATGCTCACAGGAGTCAGGAAGGTGGAGGTGATGAAACAGCAAGGAAACTGATGACAGCTGATGAGGTAATCTGAAGGGAAAGACGATGGGGGGGGGAAGAAGCAAGTTAGTGATACGTCAGAAGAGAATTACATCGGTCACTGAATGTGCAGCAGGAGGGGGAGGAGGGGGAATTGAAGGTCATGGAAAAATGTTTGCAGAATCTGGAAGAACTCCAGGAACAAACTACATTCAGTAAAACTTTCTAGACAGCAATAGCTCAAACCAAAATTTTGAGTGAGAAAGCATTTTTAAGAAAAAGTACCGATATATCTCCATGTTTACCTAGAGCGTGACCAAAAAAAAAAAATAAATAAACACCCTTCCCTTCCGACCTCTCATCTACAACTATCATCCTAATCTCTTCAATTAACCTTTGCTGTAACATTTAGAGTTTTTTACAAAAAATGTTGAAGACGGGACACCAGGAGCATAGTTCTGTTCCAGTATTCACCTGTTTGTGGTTGCACGGATCGAGTCACAGCTCCTGGCCCTACCTCTTCGTAGATAGCTGCTATGTCCACTGTCCCGTCAAGAATGGTTCCTTGATGCTGGTGAGGGGCTCTTGATCTAGGGAATTGGATCTGTTCTCCAGTTCCCTGAATTAAACCTGAATACCTTCCACATCCCCCCCCTCAGGCGCTGTATAATCTTACGGGTTTAGCGCTTCCCCTTGATTATAATATGTCCACTGTCTCCTTGCTCCATAAGCTTAATCGTATATCTTCTTAAAGTTGTGTAAGTGATTACATCTTTTCGAATTTGCTTAGTTTAAAATTCTTATGAACTATTATCTTCTTAAAATTACTTTAGACATTAATACATTACTTCATTACGTGATTACCTTCTCGCAATGACGTCATGATTTTAAATAAACTCCCATTGGCTAGAAAAATTGGCTCCGCCCATTTCGATGAGTGGTATATATACGAGACGAGAAGTCGATTCACTCTCTTCGAGTGTGTTATCTCCGCAGCTCCGCATTTCCAACCCTTAACGCAACTATATAAAAAGTTACCATGCGATCCTTCTGGTTTCTACTCTTGGGTAAGTCGCTGACGAAAAGAGAAATTTCCTAGCGATCGAAAAATACTGCTTGGCAAAATATACCCTGCTAATGAACACGGGTATTGATAGTACTTAAAAGGGAACTGCACTTGCATCTTAAAAATAATAGATATTCAACACAAAATCTAGCTGAGAGTCATAGCCTTAAGAACCTGGTGCATCTTCGACTGTATATATTTTGATTTACCTAATGGAGAACTGAGTGAAAATATAAACTGTTTCTTACGAAGGCACCTGAGGTCGGAATTCCCGATGTTTCAAGCTGCTGACACCTTTCAAAAAAGGGGGAACCTCAAGGTCGGTGAAGGGCTCTTAATGCAAGGAATTGGAGCTATCTTTCCTGTCCATAAAACAGACCTGATTACCTCCAGTTCCTTTACAGTTCTAGAGAATATAATGACTAAGGTTTTTTCTAACTGCTGAAATTCTTCTTAAAAAAAGAACTGGTAAGATGCTCTGGGTTTTCAGCGTCTACTCATAATAGTTAATTATTAATTTGGTAATATCAGTTTTATATTTTATCCTAATTATGTTAAAATAATTATTCGTAAGACGGGCTAAATCCAAGTGGAGATAATCAAATTAGACCTGAGGAATGGAAGTTCCAATAACTTGAATCAAGTGACCTTCACCAGCATCAATGCATCTCTCTGGAAGTGAAGGGAACTGATCGGCATCACCACCAAACTTGTTAAGTGTACAAAACATGAAAATATAGAACTCACCTTCTGTCTTCGTCTCTTAATCATTAACTTTTTTTTTTTTATTAAATTTTACATTCGATAAGTTTCGAGAGTTTTTGTACTCCCGGAGACCGGCCTTGTGCCTGGCTCGTCTGGTGCTTGCCTGGTCAACCAGGTTGTTGTTCTAGGGGCCTGTAGCCCACATATCCATCACAGCCTAGTTGATCTGGCACAGGGGCCTGTAGCCCACATATCCATCACAGCCTAGTAGATCTGGCACCTAGTTGCCCTACTTGCCCAGATTCCTCTTGTTCTCGCAGTGTTTTTAATATCTTCTGGTAAGATGCTGAAGCTGATGTTGATATAATGTTCTCTTAGCGCACTCGCGGCTTCCCTGCTTTTGTATCATTTTGTTATATTGTCTAATAACATATTGTATATGGAACACAAAAACAGCTGGATGAATTAGAAATGTAGAGGCTCCAGTTTGCACAAGTGGTTATTATATAATATCCATTATTGTCTAATATTCATTAAGTTATTAATGGTTTTCTGCTGGTGGTATCATAAGGGTTGACATGGAACCACCTGGTGTCGGGGACGGTGAAGGTACTGGTCCTTCAAGAGGACGGAGTGTTGAGCGAGTCCTCATGGGCTCGTAGTACGCGCACAACCCCTCCCACACCCTCCGCCACCGCCTGCCTCAGGTTCAGGGTATACTTCTTCAGGCCTCTCACCCATGTCTTCTCCGTAGTCTCCCGCCAAGAGACCAGGGAGATCAATGGAGGTAAGTCGTGAGCAGAGGAAGTGGAGTTATCAAACTTAATTGAGTTTCCATTGTTCAGGAGCTGTAGGGCCCCTGGGTTATGTAGTTCCCCATTATTTTAGATATTCCTGCTTATCATAATACACAGATCCCTGGACTTTTTTTTTTTTTTGTGTGTGTGTGTGTGTGTGTGTGTGTGTGTCAGGATCAACCATACTCAAAAAAAATGCACAGCGACAGCTTTATTAGAGGAAAAGAAACTTTTTACTTAAATATTGGAACTGATTAACTGAAACGTCAGTCATGTTGTATAGTTACTTTTGAGCTTATATTCCATTATACCTCTTCAAGGGGGGCTCCTTGGCGTGGTGAAGAGGCTCTTGGTCTGAGGAATTAGACCTGTCGGTCTTCTTCCTCAGACCGAACCTAATTACCCCCCAATCTCCCCTCCCCTATTCCATCCTCCCCATCCTCCCCTTTTTCCTTTCCTCCTCCTCCTCCTCCCCACCCCTCCCTTTTGCCCTTCCTCTTTTCGGCCTTTGGGATTTCTCCCACAGGCGCGCTAGTTCCTAGGTAGGGGAAAGGATACCGGGGTCCATCCCATTCCGTTGAGGTTCTTGGCGGTGGCGTAGTTTGCCATGGAATCTGGATCGCCTGGGGATGTCCCGATCCCTCTCTGGTATCCCGGAGTAGCTTTGGGTGTCTTTCGGGCGACGGGTGTATCTCTGGAAGCCACCTTTCGGATTCCGGGGGTGGTGGCCGAAGGAGGTATGCTTTGTGGCGGATATCCGGCCGCCCTCTTTTGTCCACCGAGGTAGCTCGGCAGATGTGAGGTTGCTATCCCGGATTGTTAGTTTACTAGCATGATGGGTAGGGTATGGCACGGGTTCCATGCTGCATCTGCGCTACTTGCGGTGCTGAGGTCCTCTTGGGCGCGGAGGGAGATTTCTGGCCCTTTCATTCCTCCTAGGAACTATCCGTCCCCGGTCCCCCCTTTTTTTTTATTCTTTTTTTTATTTTTATTTTCTTTTTGTTTTTAAGAAAAAAAAAAAGAAAGAAAGAAGTAACCTAACCATGGCAGCCCTAGTCCATGAACCTCCTACCCCCGGGCCCCTTCTTGATACCGCACCCCGTTCTGACCCCGCCTCGTCTTTGGACCACTCTTCAGACACTCCTCATGCCTCTGTACCTCTTGCCGGTGCTGTTTCCTCACCCGCTTCAGGTACTGAGGCCTCGACTGACTCCTTCGATTTATCGGACCTTCGCTCTCCTCTGACTATGCTTCCGGCCTCTCCCTCTATGGTGCGGCAATTTTCAAATCGCCGACCCGTTCCATGTCGGACCAACTCTGGTCCCACGCCTAAACGCCAACGACAATTACCTGCTGATGATACTTCTCCACCTTCTCGTTCTTCTCAGAATTGATCGACACGTCCTTCACTACCTTTCCACGCTCAGTTTCAGACTGAACAATGGACTAAATTCTTCACTTTACGACCTACTTCCTCTACTGCCTATCTTTCTGACCATAGTATTGGCAAGGCACTCCTACGCCATGTTGCTAAAGATATTTCTTTTCATGCTCTTAAGAGCGGTACGCGCATCATCACCGTACAGAATGCTACCCAGGCTCATGAGCTCTCTCGTCTTCCCCATATCGATACCGTTCCTGTCACTCTGAAAAACATCATTCCCTCAATTCTTGTAGTGGTACCGTCATTCTGCCCCATACCATAGTTCAACAAAATTTCCAGACATGTGGCACTGACATTCTTGAACAGCTAGAACTCCAAGATCTCCCAATCCTCAAGGTAGACACTTACGTTCTTCCTGCCCGCGGGCGGAGACGATACCCTAGCAATGTGGCTCGTTTAACTTTTGACAGCCGAGAACTCCCATCCTCAGTTTATATAGCAGGACATCGGTTACAAGTCCGAAAGGTGATCCCTACACCGCAACAGTGTAGAAATTGCTGGCGATTTGGCCATCCAGCGAAATATTGCAGATCTATCGCCGAATGCCCAGTCTGTGGTGCCGATGACCATTATCATACGTCTTGCAATCGATCTCCCTCTTGCCTTAACTGTCATGAGGCTCACCCTTCGTACTCTCACCGTTGTCAAGTCTATTTAAACGAGTGGGAAATCCGTTACCTCAAAGAGACAGAAGGTCTCCCTTATGCCATGGCAGTTTCTCATCTCCGCCTCCAAGGGAGACTCCCACGTGTTTCTTATTCCCGTGTTTCAAAACGTCCCCCCACTTCTGGTATCCCATCTTCTACACCCACCTCTGTGGTTACCTCTCCCATAGTCACTCCTGTATCTAATCCTTTTGCTGTCCTCGGCTCAGACGTCCCTACTTCAACACCTCAGTCTGATCTCGCTTCTTCGTGTTCTCTCTCACAAGCCTCAGTAACGACGAGATCTCGTATGACACCTCCTCCCAATCGTCCCTCTACTTCTCAAAAGTCAAAAAAAGGTCTGTTAACACCTCCTACCCATCTTCCACCTCCTCATTTTACCCTCCCTGTCTCTGTCCCTGGTTCTCCCCCTCTCACTGGCTCTGTTACAAGTGTAGAGGTTCACTCTCCTCCTCGTACTGTACCTTCCTCCCCTGTTCCCTCCCAGGTTTCTTCCTCTTCTGCCACCTCCCAGGTTTCTGCCTCTTCTGTCCCCTTCCACGCTTCTCCAGTTCCCTCCACCCTTTCGCCCCCCCCCCTACCTTGGTACAGTCCAATACAGTTCCAATCTTTACTCGTCCTCCCCTTACCATTTCCAATATTGTCTCCCATACGACGTCTCTGAATTCCGAAACACTTGAAGCAATCTCTGAATATATTGCAGAGACCAAACCATCAATGGACACTGATCCACCCTCTGTTCCTTCTCTCTCCTCTCCTCCATCTGCGCAACTCCTTTCTTCACAGCGCACCGTTCCTTCGCTGCTTGAACGTTTTCCACTGCCTCCGCATGTGGACTTTTCTAACCCCTCTAGTCCGTAGGAACCCTTACCTGTGGATTTCAAGTATCTTTATCATTGCCAATCATGGCCTATTTACAGTGGAATATACGCGGCCTCAGGGGTAATCGGAGTGAGCTTCAGATGTTACTCTCCCAGTTTGCCCCTGTTGGTGTTTGCTTACAGGAACCAAAATTACACTCTGCTGTTATCTCTCCCATCTCAGGCTATAATTTATTGTATTCTTCAGATCCTTTTCCTGATGGGACCTTTAATGAAAGTGCCCTTCTTCTACGCACTGATATTCCGTACCATCAGCTATTTGTTCATACTTCGCTGCATTACAGAGTAGCCCGTATCCACTTGCATAGGTGGTATACGCTCTGTTCTTTATATCTCTCTCCTTCTCGGGCATTATCTATTCCGGATATTGCCTTTCTTGTTTCCTCATTACCGCCACCGATTCTGTTACTTGGTGATTTTAATGCCCACCATTTCCTCTGGGGGGGGGGGTCTCGCTGTGATTCCCGTGGAATTCAGTTAGAGGCTTTTCTTGCCACCCACCCCCTCCATGTTTTAAATACAGGTACGCACACCCATTTTGATCCTCGGACTCATACTCTCTCTTGCATCGATCTCTCAGTCTGCTCTTCCTCCACCGCATTAGACTTCACTTGGTCTGTTTTCCCGGACTTACATGACAGCGATCATTTCCCAATCATTCTTACTTCCCCTTCATATTCACCACCTCTTCGCATCCCACGCTGGCAATTTGATCGGGCAAATTGGAACCTTTACTCACGCCTAACTGTTTTAAGAGAGGTTCCTTCTTCGTCCTCCATCGATGAGCTTTTACACCTCTTCTCGTCCTCCATTTTAACCGCAGCTTCTCATTCTATACCCCAAACTTCGGGCAGGCATACTCAGAAATGCGTGCCTTGGTGGTCTCCTGCTTGTGCTCGTGCAGTACGTTTGAAACGCGCTGCATGGGGCAGGTACTGGTACAATTGAACCACAGAGAGACTCCTTGATTTTAAACAGAAGCGTGCGATCGCTCGCCGTGTCATCCGTGACGCTAAACGCACTTGCTGGCGAGAGTGTCTCCACCATCACCTCTGCTTCCTCTATGAGTGCAGTCTGGAAAAAAGTACGAAAACTGAGAGGTAAATATTCTCCTGACCCGGCTCCTGTTCTGCGGGTTGCCGGTGTTGATATAGCAAACCCACTAGATGTTGCCAATGAAATTGGCAATCATCTGGTCCATATTTCTCCGTATTTCTATGCCCCTCATTTCTTTCCTCAAAGTCTGCCAGAGAGTTAGCACCCTTGGACTTTTCTTCTCTCAGAGAAGAACAGTATAATGTGCCTTTTACACTTCAAGAACTGGAGGCAACACACTCAGCTTGCCGATCATCGGCAGCTGGGCCCGACGACATTCATATTTGTATGCTACAACATTTACATCAGTCAGCCCTTGCAGTCCTATTACGCCTTTACAATCTTATTTGGTCACAAGGAGTTCTTCCACAGCTGTGGAAATCCGCCATTGTTCTCCCTTTCCACAAACCAGGCACTACGGGACATGAACCCTCCCACTATCGTCCCATTGCTCTTACCAGTGCAGTTTGCAAAGTAATGGAACGCCTAGTAAATAGACGTTTAGTGTGGTATTTAGAGACACACAACAGTCTCTCCACTCGTCAATATGGCTTTCGTAAGGGACGTTCTACCATAGACCCCTTACTATGCTTGGATACGTATGTTCGTAATGCCTTTGCGAATAACCACTCAGTTATTGCCATATTTTTTGACCTTGAGAAGGCATATGACACAACTTGGAGGTATAATATTTTAGCCCAAGCCCACTCCTTAGGCCTTCGAGGCAATCTACCATCCTTCCTTAAGAACTTTTTAACTGACAGGCATTTCCGTGTTCGGGTTAATAATGTGCTCTCCCCGGACTTTATCCAAGCTGAAGGTGTCCCCAGGGATGTGTTCTGAGCACAACACTTTTTCTCCTTGCTATTAATGATTTGGCCTCTAGTCTTCCATCAAATATTTGGTCATCACTCTATGTTTATGACTTCGCTATTGCCTGTGCAGGCGCTGACTGTCACCTCATTAGTTTCTCTCCAACATGCAGTCGACCGTGTTTCCAATTGGGCCACCACACGTGGGTTTAAATTTTCCAGCACTAAAACCCACCAAATTACTTTCACTAGACGCTCTGTCATCTCCGATCATCCTTTGTACCTCTATGGCTCCCGTATCCCTGAACGTGATAGTCAAGTTTCTGGGCCTCCTCTTTGATCGTAGGTTATCCTGGAAACCACATTACCTCCCTGAAGGCAACTTGTCACAGCCGGCTGAACCTTCTTAAAACCCTTGCTCATCTTTCATGGGGAGCTGATCGTCGAACCCTCCTCCGCCTACATTCCACCCTTATTTTATCGAAACTTGATTATGGTGACCAGATCTATTCAGCGGCATCTCCTGCTACTCTCTTTAGCCTTAACCCCATTCATCACCAAGGATTACGTTTATGCCTTGGTGCTTTTCGCTCTTCCCCTGTCGAGAGCCTCTATACAGAAGCGAACGTTCCATCCTTATCCGATCGCTGTGATGCCCATTGCCTGCGCTACTATGTACGCTCTCATGATCTCCGCAATCCTTCCATTTATAGAATGGTCACTGATATTAGTAGACATTCTTTATTTGATCGCCGCCCCTGTTTACTCCGTCCCTTCTCTCTTCGCCTTCATTCGCTCTTGCTTCTCTTCAACTACCACCTTTCTATGTACATGTAGCATCTCACTTTTCCCTACCCCCCTGGGAAGTTCCAGCTGTTCGAGTCTGTTCTTTCTCCCTCCCTTGCTCGAAAGCCCAACTGTCAACGGTCGCTTCCCGCTCTTTTTCTTGACCACTTTCACTCTCATTCTCATGCCATTGCCGTGTACACAGATGGCTCTAAGTCTTCTGACGGCGTAAGATTCACAGCAGTGTTTCCGGACAGCGTCGTACAAGGGCATTTACTATCTTCGGCTAGTATTTTTACTGCTGAATTGTATGCCATCCTTACAGCACTTATCCGTATTGCATCTATGCCTGTGTCATCATTTGTGGTTGTCTCAGACTCCCTTAGTGCTTTACAGGCTATACAAAAATTTGATACACCTCACCCCTTAGTCCTCCGTATCCAACTTTGGCTACGCCGCATCTTTACCAAGCATAAAGATATTGTTTTTTGTTGGGTCCCTGGTAATGTTGACGTACAGGACAATGAACAGGCAGACACTGCTGCGTGGTCAGCAGTACATGACCTACCAGTTTCTTATAGAGGTATTCCATTTACAGACTATTTTGCTGCAATATCTTCCCACCTTCACACCCGTTGGCAACAACGTTGGTCTACTATGCTCGGCAACAAACTTCAATCTATTAAACCGAGTATAGGTTACTGGCCGTCTTCTTATCACCAGTGTCGAGGTTGGGAGACTACTCTCTCCTGTCTTCGCATTGGCCATACTCGTCTTACTCATGGATATCTCATGGAGAGGCGTCCTGCTCCTCTCTGTGAGAATTGCCAAGCTCCATTATCAGTCGGCCACATTCTGTTGGACTGCCCACTTTATCAACGAGCACGCAGAATTTACCTCTGTCGTCGTCTTCGCTCCACTACTCTCTCTTTACCTTCCCTTCTCGCTGATGGACCCACCTTTCATCCGGACACTCTCATTGACTTTTTGACAACAACTGACTGACTTCACAAATTCTGATACCTTCAGCCCTTTCTACTTCAATCTCTTGCTACCCTCCACCCCCGTACTATCCCCTGCCCCGCTGTTTTCTGTAACCTGCTGATCATCCCTCCTCCCTTCTGCCATCCAATACCCTCGCTTCCTTCCCTACCCTGCAGCGCTGTATAGCCCTTGTGGCTTAGCGCTTCTTTTTGATAATAATAATAATAATAATAATAATAATAATAATAATATTCCATTATATTTATTATTTTTTTATTAGTATTTACATGTGTATTACTTACATGTTTTTATTACTGCGGTTCACGCAAATTCACGAAAAGTAAAGTCAACGTTTTTGTCAGACACACCCGAGAATTAGAATGATGGTCACCTGCGTTACTTCATGGCAACCAAGACTGACAGCCATTTTCATTCCCACTGCTGACACCATAATTCTTTGCAGGTGTTTTGATTTCTCGAAATGTCAGATCGTTTTTTTTATTTAACCTTGTTCATATGCAAGTCATTCATGGAATGAATAAATCTCTGATAGGTGATGTGCTTTTGAAAGATACAACTTTAGTAAGAGTTATGTATGCAGGCTTATGATATAGCAGAAGTTTCTATTTCTAACGAGTGAATATCCCAAAATTTTCTCCTGTTTGCAGAAATCTTTGTGGACTATGTGCGTCCCATAGTGTCAGCCGCTTTCTACTTTCTGGGCATCTCTGAGCCACTACAGGTACTCAAATGGTACCACTATTGCCTCACATACAACCATACCGTCGCCCAAATAGCTGCTTACCTCGACGGCCAGCTGCAAGGAGTCATCACCAGGAACATCACTAGGTGGGGTAAGATATATCATAGTCTACCAAAGATGTGTGTGCTTATACTCACTAATTTGTAGTGAATGAATCTCGTGTACGCGTTTATTTTAAATGTTCTGAATCTTAATTCTCTGTCTCTCTTCCATTAACTCAGGTGCCAGAATGATAAAAACGCAAAAGGGGATTAAAATTTCATGTTCATTGGGAAGTTTTAAACTTACAGGGGGAAGGGTTATACAACTCCTTTATTATACATTAAGATCTGATCCGAGAAAAGGGAGTGTAACTCCAAATCAACGGATAAAGAGCTCTCCGCCTGACATTATTTTGCTTTCTTTTCCAGGTGGTTTGGAGAAGCCACCATGGTGTTAGGCCAGTACAGTATTGACTTTCTTAGCGGATACACCAAGACTCGAAGCTTTAGCGGACAATTAACACAAGCTGGGGTTTGGAGTCGGTGTCTCTCTCATACAGAAGTGTCTCAGCTGGCTTCTTGCGGGCCAGATCCCCCGGGAATTGCCATTCCCTGGAACCACGAGTGGATCCTCAACAACGCCACCTTCGTTGAGGTTCCAGAGAACGAGGTATGTGAGAAGAAGAGCAAATCGTCTTACATAAAATTTTTGCCTATGACCTACGAAAATGCCAGAAGAGCATGTACAGGGCTTGGTGGTTACCTGCCAGTACCTCAGTCTCTTGAACATGCTAACGAGTTGATAAGAATCATGTTAGAACCTCCGAAGATCACAATTATTTGGATAGGGGCAACGGACGAACAGGAGGAAGGCGTCTACACCAACGTCCACACTGGAGAGGAACTCCAGTGGTTCAAGTGGGGCAGTAACGACCCCAATGGACTTAAATGGCAAAATTGTCTTGAGTTAGACACGGATTTCATGCACGATTACCCATGCCACGTCACCCTAGAAGCCATGTGTTTTCTTGAATCCCAAAGGGAATGGAAGCTCCGAGGCCCATGTGAGGAGGACACGGCTAACTACAAGTACAGTCTGTTGCACCCGGCTCAGGGCGTGGTTGTCTTCCGGGGTTACTATCAGTACGAGATCGTTGAGGAGAAAGAGTTTTGGATCTGGAGAAATGTTATTACAAACAAAGTCGTTGCTCGATTGCCCTTCCACGAGTCCCGATGGCCTATGGGGCGTCGGAACTGGACAATGGAGAGCGAAGTCTGTGAGAGGAAAGGAACACAAGTACTTCAGCTCAGTTCTTGCATGAACAGCGAGTTCACTTGTAAGGATGGTTCATGTATTCCACGACTTCAGCGCTGCGACCGTCGACCTGACTGTCAAGACGAGAGCGACGAGCAAGAGTGTCTGCTGGTGGAACGACCACTTGGCTACCACCACAATCTGCCGCCTCCCAGTAGAGTCTCTGGTAGGTCGCCCATCACCTACATACAGTAAACGTGCTTTTTTTTTTTCCTCTCTACAATTCATAAGCTGAGTACGAATAAGTAGCGCGCGTCTCACACTCAACAGACGGAGGATCAAGCCTCCACCACGTCTTGTGCTGATTGACCCACCTGTGTTTAGTACTTAACATCCCCAGGATGTGAGCAACAGAGTAGACCAACACTAAGGCGCCTATTTACTTCTAGATGATATGAGAAAGCAATTGTACAATAACTTGCCACATGTCTCTTCCAACTCGGGATTCGATTTTGAAACAAAAGCTTCAGTATTCAACATCTGTTTCTTGACCATGTAATGAAACAAGTGCAAGATGATTTTAACTTTAGTGTGTTGTATTTATTGGGATATAAGAGAAAAAGATGATCTTTCTCCAAAGTTTTTAATTCTTTATCTAAACCCCTAGTTTTAATTATGGTAGTTCTTAAATTTGACCAATCGCCTCTAACTACACGAGCAAGAAAGGCTTCAGATCACGTATAAAAACACGAGCTTCTAACCAATTCTGGGTCACTGAATTCAAATGTGAAATTTAGTTTTGTTCCAACACGTACAGTTTCTATGAAATAGAAACTTCCATTGACCGATTTCACCAAGACATAGCCATCATAGAGAAAAGATATCAGAGAAACCTGTTATCTGCTGGACATTGGTGCGGGACTGTATAGAAATTTATTTTTATGCATATACAATGAATTTAGGTTAGGAAAGATTAGTTTCGTCATCGTATACATAAACTTAATATCAGTGTAAAATATAATACCGTATCAAAGCTAGCTTTAAACAACTATTTTTTTTCTGACCTGGCTAAAAAGTTTAAAAAAAAATGACTGGGTTTATTAATCAAATCCATGGCCAGTGCCTGCTGCTCTGATGCTCGCATTAAAAAAGAAAACTTACCAAACTTATTAACATTTTCCCTAGAATCTCGTAACCAACAACTAAACTCAAAAAATTTTCAAGTGCATCTTTGCTTTAGCATTTTGTCTATTGTATTCTCATGGGGCAACTGTAAACAAATACAAGCCAGCGAAATGGAAAGCAATAAGGTTTGATTGATGGAACGGGAAACGGATTTAATTCCTTGGTTTCAGAGCCCCTCAACAGAACTTACTGAGCTTCACCATCTGACTTACCGAGTCTTTTTCAGGGACTCCCCTGCCTGTGAGTCTGAAATTAAAGCTGGTAAGCTTATCCTTAAGTGACAGGGATAGTTACCTGGAGGTCACCTACCACCTCAACCTCACCTGGTGGGACCTACGACTCCGCTTCAATAATCTCAAAAATGCTTCACGTCTCAATCAGGTGAGTACGTGAGCTTTTGTCTCATAAACCAGTCAAGAAGAGAAAAAATGAGTCAGTCTAGAGCAAACAGTTAACAGAATTTATCTTTTACGATACACAAATAACCCGCACATAGGAGAAAGAAGCTTATGATGAAGTTTGGTCTGACTTGGATCATTTAGAAGCCACACTTACATACGAAGGTAAGGGAGCCCGTATACGTAGGTGAGGGGGGGACAGGGACGGGACCAAGATGGGAAGAATATAGAAAGTGGAGAAGCAGTGGTAGAGGTAATGGTGGTAGTGGTAGTAGTAGTAGTAGTAGTAATGGTAGTAGTAAGTACGGGGTGTAGTGGAAGTGGCACAGGGGACAGAAAGGGGAGTGAAGGGAGCACTGGTAGTAGTAACGTAATAGTAATGAAGCAGTAAGTCTAAGGACAAGAAACAGAGGCACTTCGGGAGAGCTAATGACCCACAAGGATGAGATCAAAAACACATGGGTCAATAAAACTGAAAGACAGAAAACTGCTAAGCCGTCACGATATTGTGACTTTTTGTTTCCATGTTACCCGGATGATTAACTTACGAACATTATATCCAAAATGGAGAGAAAAGGAATTGGCGTAACGTACGTAAAACGAACGTTAAATGTATAATATTGCTTATATATTTATTCGATTTGCTTCTGTGACTAAAATTTTGTTTCATATAAATTTTAGTGCACATTCTAAGAAATCCTACTCACAAAAATGATTAGGTGCAAACTGTATTTTTAAAATAAAAAAGAAAAACGCGATTAATTTATATGTGGGGGAAAGAGAGGGTGAAATATTTGTCTCGTTCTGTGCTATTGGTGGACATAATAGCAAATGATGGAATCATGAACATTCTGACAGTGAATAACAGTTAACTTAGTTTGCAATAGAAAGAAATGTTCAAAAAGAAACTTCTTTGTTACACACAACATTTCACAGCTCGCCTATGTTGTTCATACAAAGGATTAATTTGCGCTCAGTACTGAGCATTCCAGACTGTTTACTGAAGGTATGTCGCTTCATTAGAACATCTGATGCTAGCTGTAAATCAGTGGGTAAAGTCGAGCATTGACCAATACTTTTCATAAGCCTATAACAAAGAGCATGTCCATCCACTGTTCAGCTTGGAAATAAACATGTGAACTGTAATACTGTGTTCCTGCAGCTGTTTGTGTTAAAAGGTAAACCTGCGCAGAAATCGTGGGTAATGTACTGCGGAGAATCCTTCACTTGGAGTGACAAGCAGATAAGCTCTTCTCCAGTAACAGTGAGCTCATTTGTAACTGCTGCTCTACAGAATAATTATACCCTCTAGAAATGAGTATTTCTAGAAGGTATAATTATTATAATTAAGCAGCTTCATTAAAGCAACGCCTTTCCCAGTTCCAAACATGATTGTGTCACAGCCATAACCTGCACATACCTCAGAAGTTGCACGTCGCCGGAGTTCTCTGTAGTCAATGAATATTTCAGATTTTCTGATTCTTTTTGGTCATTTTTATTTTTTGTCTGACTTTAGGAACAGATTGAATGAACTGAAGTCAGCATGAAAACAAAGCAATATTCCGTGTCACGCTACTTACGTCTGTTGTTTAGTTCCAGGCGTCACTATAACTATTGTTCCCGTTCCATGGAATATGCTGAATCAGATAAACCTGAAACAGTACTATAGTTCGAGGAGCTTGAACAATGTCCTGGCCCACTGATGCAATGTTTACGGATATTTTTGCACTGAAGACTGCTCTTAAAACGAGATGCAAAACTTTGTGGTAGGAGCATCACGTTTTCTTTCGAATACGAAATATTGTCAGGTGTGACGCACATAGTCTATTGAAGCGTCCATGCACTAATATTAGTACCAACAAGCGTTGAACTTTTTTTTTTTTCAGATTTTTTTTTCTCTCCCCCGAGTCAACCGAGCTCCTTCGTAAAATAATTAGAATTATTCTTGCTGTATTCCCGAGAGTTGACACATGGTCTTTCCTAATAATGTTATTAATGACGATGAGTTCTGGAAGTGATCTTTGATCATTGTCTTTCTATATTTGATACTGTGGGTGTTATCGCGGAATTTCTCTTCTGTGCAAGATTACTAAAGGTTACAGATTCATCATTTTATGTCCAATAGTCAGTCACTTCCTTAAATGCTTCTTCTTTACAAGTGCAAATGGGTCAATCGAAATTAAAAAAATTTTTAGCATGATTTCTGTAGTAGTAGACTTGGGGAACCAGTTTTTGTCTGAAAATTTGTTGCTGCAGTACAAAACTGTAAAAATATTATTCCTTGCTAAATTTTATATTTGATTTCAATCTCACTTTTTTTTTGGGGGGGGGCAGGTTCCGGTGACGGAGCATGGGAGGTTATGGACGCCATCTTTAACATTGGTCAACGTGCGAGGGACTGAGAGGACGCTAATGGACGACGAGGCTGTCATCACCGTTCACCGCCAGGGACACCCTCTAGCTGATGACTTATCCGTGCCTGAGGACGGTAAGAGAGAGACATAGGGGAAGGAAAGAAGCGTGGGGTAATGATGGGGCTAACTTGTGAGTGTAGTAGGGAGAGAAGTGATAAATGAAAAGTAATAATAATGGTATTTCTAATAATAATTTTAATTCTAAAGTTTTAAAAACGCATATAACAAGATGCCCTTTTCCTTATTTCTCCTCTCCCTTTCCTTTTGCTCCTTGTTCCTGTCTTTCTCACTTTCTCTCATCCTTATCCTTTTTTTTTTTACACAGGGTTTGACAAGGTTAAGGATCCCTAGCTTTATTGACAAGCTATTTACAGGTTAAGGATTCCTAACTTTATTGGCAAGCTAAGAGCTGTTATCTACATCAGCTCATTTAAAAGCATTTTTATTGTTATGAGACATACAAGTAGGAAACAGGATGAAGTTGGAGCCATCTGTGGGCCAGCATTTTCATTTGATCAAATGACTTTATCTCGTTGATATCATAATGTTGTACGAATGTGTTCCATACTCGAGTCATCCTGGGTATATATGATCTCAGATGGAGCGATGTTCTGGAGAAGGGTACAGCCAGAGTGAAGTTGCTGCTTTCTGCCCGTCTTGTGGCATAAAAGCTTGTTTCACGCTGTCCTCGAAGTGGATCCAAGTGTGGTACTTTGACAATATTGGCCTTGTACATAACAGTAAGGCCACACACATCCTTCCTGTGTTGAAGGCTCTGCTGAAATGACAGATCTATCCAGGATTGGTCCAGGCGAGAGATGAGACGTCTTGCTCTGTTCTCTACTCTGTTAAGCAGTCGCAGATGAGAGGGAGGGGACAGGCAAACCAAGAAAGTGGAGCATACTCAAGGTGTGAGCGTACTTAATTTGCTTTCTCTACCTCTCCTCCCTTTACCTTCAGTTTCCTTTCCCAATTTTTCTTTCACTCTTTCCTCTTTTTATCCTCCCTTCACTTGTTTCTTCTCCTTATACTCTCCCTCAAGGTGTACAAGGCCGGTGTGTCACCCTTGATCCAAAGCATCCTCCATTTCCTTGAATCTATCCTAATTGGCTTCTACTCCACCAGGCTCTGAATCGCCCACCTCCTCGTGAATGCAAATAATAATCCCTCTCCTTTATTTTATGATCTCTCTCTAACCTTGCCTGGAGCAGTGAACGTGTACTTGGGGTTCGAGAACCCGCTGAGTATGGAACGTAAATATACATCTCAGTTCCTGTGCGACCTCAACCTACATCTGTATCCTTTCGACGAGCAGCGCTGCTTCATGCATTTTGAGGCGCTCTCCGCCGCTACCGACTTCCTGGTGCTGGAGAAGAGCACTTCAGTGGTTGTGTATGTCGGAGCCGAGCTGCTTATTGAGTACACGGTGAGAAGTTTGTTAGCGGTTGTCAAAGGCTGATGCCGAGAGACATTTAGCCTTTGTGTGTGTGTCTGTATCTTACTATTTGTCAAAGGCATTTGTCATGGTCTAGGTGTCTATTCCCTATCATGGAGAAGTATATGGACATATTTCCTTACACGCCTGCTGCTCCTGTATGTTAGCCAACTGCTGTGGGAAGCATCGGGGAAAAAAATGTGTTAGGAAATTTCAGTATTGCTGGAATGTCATTTACTATGAAAAAAAAAAAACACTCCGGTCCGGTGTAAGGAAACATCAGTACATGCTGGAATTATTTAAATGCTGGGTAAAATATAATTCAGTTGATGTTGATAAAAATAACTACCTACAGCCATAGTGACTACACATAAAGACCCACTGATACTACCAGTGATGATAAATTAGATACATGTGCAACACTTTGGTATCTTTAAGGAGAATGGTGAAGAACAGGAGGAGTATGAGGTAATCAGTCCCTCAGTCTTGAGTCGATGTGGTCAGTCCATTAATCTTGAAAAGATCTCAAACTCCTCCTGTTCTTCACTGTTTTCCTTTGTACGGACTGAAGCCACTGTGTGGCGAAACGTTTCCCTATTAAAGATACCCAAATGTTGCACATGTCTTATTTATCAACTTGTCTGTTCTCTGAATCATTTATCTACACTACCAATGATCAGTCACAACCCAAAAAAATATTATTTTAAACACGTTTAAACGGTAAATCCTGTGTTATATAGCTAGTGTTGAATAGAGGGTAATCAGGAAGGCACAAGGTAGCTCCATTTTTTTATTTGAGAACCCTTTACCAGCATCAACAGATTCCCTTGAAGAGACTAACAGTACCTATTACCCTCTTTAGACACCACCACTAACCACATCACCCTCCTTCAGGTAGTGAGTGTGGTCCTACAACTGGACAACAACCAGACAATGGCCAAGGCTTTAGTGGAGGTGGTGTTGCAGCGAAGAATAGGATACCCAATCATCTCTATCTACGTCCCCACCGTCATCCTTCTCATTCTGGCGTACCTTTCCCTCATTTTCCGGAGGGATGACTTCGAGACGAGAGTGGCGTCGGCGCTGACTGTCCTGCTAGTGCTGGCGTCTCTCTTCACTCAGGTAATTAGAACCTTTGGTGTAACTATTCACTCAGGAAATTAAAACTGTGTTCGTCTTCACTAAGATTAGAACTATCCTGTCTCCTATTCACTCCAGTGAGGAATTCCAAGAAAATCCTGAAGATGGCAGAGCCTGGTGACAAAAATCCTAAAGACGGCAGAGCCTGGTGACAAACGTGCCTGAAAATCCTATTTCTCAGAAGACCCTGGTCATAAGAGACTGGTGCAATTCATGTCTTGTGTTTGCGAAACATGGGGTGATCCATGGTACTCCTTATTGTCTTGTTTAAGACGTTCTAAAATGCTACCTATGTAAGTTCAGCTAGGAGCGTAACGGTCTCGATATCAGCAAACGGAAGATCGAACCTTCACCATTCCTTATGCTGAATGACCCATAAGAAATTAGCGCCTCACAAAATAATAACAATAATTTTCCATGTATTTCTAGAGTGTCGAAAGTTTTTATGTATACCCTCTAAGTCGAAACGTTTTATTTTATTTAAATTTCCGTTCGAAAAATATGACCAAACCACTTTTTGTCCAGATATGTTTCATCAGTGCAATTTTTGATCACCTAAATCACTTTTATAATTTCAGATATAGAATATTATTAGAAATTTTTAACTATATCGTTGCTAAATATTTGTGATTAAAAAAAATGTATGGAAACTTCATTGAAAATGAAAATGTTGTTTCATCCCGAAGTTGAGTGCAGTTTCCCTTTCGATTAAGATTTAAAAATGCATGAAGCCTGGTCACGAACCGGGCCGCGGGGGCGTTGACCCCCGAAGCCCTCCCTAGTATACTCCCTTTCAGGTATGCAGAATTGAAAATTTTCTATAGATCCTTTGGAAAGTATTGAGCACATATTATTATTTTTTCTAAAATTAGTACTAAACCTTGTATTGTCAAACAGTTCAATTTATATATGGCAACCCCCCATTGTGTTGATGTTTGGGCTCTGCACACAATCTTCTGAAGACACAAGAACAGCCCCTCAATACCTTTCAGGAATACAAAATGAAGGTTCAAAACCCCACAAAATAAAGGGTTCTAAACCCACAAAATGAAGGTTCTAAACCCACAAAAGGAAGGTTAAAAAACCCCACAAAATGAAGGTTCTAAACCCACAAAATGAAGGTTCAAAAACCCACCCTGGAAATTGGAGACAATGAATACATTCAAGGAAGGAAAGTATGGGTTCCTCTTTTGGACGAGGCGTATCCTTTTTTTTTTTTTTTTTTTTTTTTTTTTAATCTCCCAATTTTTGCAGCGCTGTATGGGCCCTTGTGGCTTAGCGCTTCTTTTTTATTATAATAATAACAAAAATAATAATATCAAACACTTTACTGAAATTATGAATATAAGTAATTTTTTAGATTTTGCCCAGAAAGGCGAATTTATTGGTCAGCGACACTTATCCAGAATGAACAATGTCACCATAAACATTACAGTTCATACAGCTGACACAATATTTAGAGTATCTCTATACACTTGTATCGCTAGAGTTACAAATTATTATTTAAATGCAGGAAATCCTGCACATTTCTGTAAAATGGTCTATGAAATTAAATGTTCAAGTTAGCTAGTATCACCTTCACCTCTTCTAAGTCCTAGAATAACCGAGGGTGATAATGAGTAGTTTGTATTATCAGAAAATGTAGGAAATTAAGTGCTATCCCTTAAACAGTTCCGGAAGTTATTTTATATACATTAGTCAAATTTTCTTCTTTTTAGTCATCTATCCAAACGCTGGTTTTTTTTTCCCCTCTGTGAACTGCTTTGGCTCCCATGTGTATGTGTACGGAGTTCAATTGTTTAAAGTCTCTAATTTTGTCATGAAAAGACACAAGCTGCAAAAATGCAAATTTATTGAGATTTTTCACTGTTTAAGCTATAACAAGTGTTTAAAGACCGAAAAGTGCAAATATATACGCTTTTTTGTAGCGTATTTTCTTTATTATTATAAACAGTACGGTATTTCGATCCCTTAGATTCTGTGTTTGTTCTGTCACCAGCTTTGTTGATGCGGTTGCCTGTATTCTTGATGCATTTACCTACAGTTAATTTTATATAACATTTCTTGAAATTTATTGATATATTGCCTGATTCTTAATGTCCTGTTCTAGACATCTACATCCCTGCCCAAAACGTCTTACTTCAAGATGGTGGCGTGTGGCTTCTCTTCAGCATCTCTCAATCTTCTTTGTCATCGTCTCCATATCGTAATTGATATGGCTTACGAAGGCAAGCTCGTCGGCTCCTCCTCCAATACATCGCCTCACCCCACCAAGATAACTTCCCTTAGTGTGGATACCAAAAGAGAGACGGTGACCCACGGGGTGACCCACGGGATGTCGCTTCCTGGTAGGGTAGCTGCCACTGCTAAGCCCAGTTGGTTTCGCCCCTTGGATGGCGAGACAACAGTGGAGAGGAACAAGAGACTCTTGATAAATTTTCATACAACCCGCTGTTTTTGGGATCCCATGTTACTTCACTGCTTTCAATTTTGTCTACTGGATTTACATTTTAGCTTGATCTTCCATGAAGATTTTTTCCTGCTCTCCCTTCGATTCTCTTCTCTTCCTCTTTATTGCCCTTCCCTCACCCTTTTTTCGTTCTCTTCCACGCCCCTCACAGCCTTCCCTCTCAATTGGTAATCCAAAATTAGGAGGGAATGGTTCATTAAGACACTGTTAACAGTAATCAAAACGACTTAGTGTATACGTGGTCAGAGACTTATAAAATGATTTTCAAAATAGGAGGGTCCTGAAGTAAAAAAAGTATATAAACATAAACACGGGCTAAAATTTTTAGGAGATCTTTGGATAAAGTAAAAGCGGAAACAACGCTTTGACTCAAATTACTTCTAAAGAATTTTCCTTTGGGCAAAAAAAAATTTTCTTTGCCAAAACAGTTTTTCCTTTTGTGATATAACTAAAAAAGTTGTTTGTCTCAAACTTGGGCTGTCTGAAGACCGAGCGTCCGCCATTTCCTGATAACCCCCAAGGGCTTAGCACTTCTAATTTTTTGAGAGAGATGATTCCCCCATTATACAAAATATTCCTGGCAAGCCCTCATCATGCTTAATTTTTCCTTGTTAGCATATTTTTTTGTGAAAATGAACACTTAGCGAAAATATATTTAGCATACGAAAACCATAACAGGATTGTATATTCATCCTCCAATCGAGGTTCTCTTCAGCTGAGAAGATTTCAACTGGAAGTGACGTACAAAGACCTTTTACTGGTTTTATCCCCGACAATAAAGTGGGGTACATACCTCACGTCCCCTCGTCGGAGTTCTTTGGGTTTCGAACCGTAAGCGTTAACGCGTATTTTTTAATTTAAAGAAAAGACACTAAAAAATTCAAATGATAGTGTTCCTCCCTTCAAATTTCCCATCAAACTGTTTTATAGAAAAAAACCTCCTACCATTATTCCTATTATTTCTTGCATTTAAATTACAAAAATTGTGCTAATCTGTTGTTAAATAAATTAATTTACTTGCTGTAAATTTTCTGTTTAAGCATGATGAACTGCACTATATTCTTGGTCACTGTACAAGATATTCATTGTAACTCTTACGTTACAGCTTCGTGTTAATTATTCTCACTCCATTTTAAATCGTTGGTGTGGCTAAATGAACTGTTGATGCACGCGCATATTTCTTAGGTGCAAATAAGATGGTATAAAAAAGTTCGTATTCGACGGAGGAGAGCAAACTGAAGAGAAAAAATGAACTATGCCACAGCTATCTGCTGAGGAACTTATGATTTCTTTGGTATAGCTGTTCAATTTAGATAGATGATAGGCAGCAGGAGAGACAAGCAAGACGCTCTCATCCTACTCTCTATCTGTTCCTCACACACTAGGAAATAATTACGCTAAAAAATATATATATATATTTCTACTCCTATACGCTTTTACTATTCTTAAAAATTTATTTCTTTAATAGTTCATTATTTAATGACTACAATAATATGAGAACATGAATTATCAATCATTATGTGAAAACACAAAAAAAATGCTTGACTTATTTTGAGAAGAGTTAAAATTTGGCAGATATTAAGTTAATTTACAATGTAAAGTTCTCTGTTTTTTTCTAGGTCGCAGTTTCACCCTGCTTTGATGGGTAGGTTAGTGTGCATCAATATTCCAGCTTACAACAAGCACCTGAAGTGTCATGGGCTTGGCATCTCTAGTTTTGAAGGATCTCGTTATCCATCCTGTCATTTTTCTAGCAGATGAAATTGATAGGTTGTAGTCCTTGAAAGTGAGATTCTCTGACATTATCATTCCAGGTCTTTTAAAATTAGTTTGGAAGCGAGTATTGTGCCTCGTGGAATAGAGCTTTTTCCACAGTAGCCCTCAGACTTTACTCTGTTTACTACTACTCTGTGTTCTATTTGTTAGAAAATTATAGATGCATCTACCACCTTTCCCTGTTTTTCCCTTTTTATGACGCATTTTATCCCCTATTACATCATGGTCACACCTTGTCAAAGGCTTTTGCAAAGCCTGTGATACTATATCTGCGTTTTTTTGTCTTCTAGAGCATCCAGGACCTTGTCATAGTGTCCAGTAGTTGGGACACGCAGGAGCGACCTGCTCTAAAACCCATATTGACCTTGGTTTTGTAACTGATGGGTATCTAGATCAATGGCGATTTTGCATCTTAGAACCCTTTCAAAGATTTTTATGATATGGAATGTTAGCACTATCTGTCTCCAGTTCTTGCATTACTTTACAGCCCCCTTTTTGGAATGGGGCTATATCTATTGTTTTTAGCAGCTGGTGGGACGATTTTCTGTGTCCATGCTCCTTCTCCATAGGAGTTAAAAGCCATGTTTTGTGGTTTTTTGCAAGTTCCTGATGAGCACAGAGTTCCATAGCGTGGTCCTGAGGCAGAGTTCCTGGACATGTCATTTAAACGCCTTTTTCAAAGTCATTTGGAGTCAGGATAATATAAGAGAGGTTAGAATTACCAAATTAATTTTCGCTCATAAAAAAATAATTTAGGTCTTCACTAGTAGGCATATAGTGTTAAAAAATAAGTTTCAACTGGACACAGCTCCTGGCCCCCAACATGACGTAACATGTAATAATGGTATAGAATTATATATATAATAAATATAAAATCTGGAAAAGAGGACAGGAGCAACTAATGATTTATTATGGCCGTCTGGTTCTCCAGGAACTTTATCAAACAATAAAATAATATAAATTGTTGAATCATCAAATTCATTTACTTCTCATACACTTCAGTTTACCCCCTTTATGACTCATACCGTAAGCCTTATATTACTGTATTTTTATATATATAATATATAATATATATATATATATTATATATATATAAATATATATATATATTATATATATATATATATATATATATAATATAACATGGGATAGTAAATGTTAAGAAAAATGTTAAGCAAATGTTAAGAAAATTATCCGGACAGATATGGTTTCAAACCTGCCCGGTCCGTGTTAGGAATTTAATTTAAATTTTAATATAATATTTTTAATTTCTACAGGTACATATACAAGGTATAAAAGACCATAAGCTGACATCACTGACATACTTAAATATATAGAAAGTCCCTTGTTATGCTGAGCATTTCAGGCTAATTAGGTCAGTTTTATCCCAGGATGCCACCCACACCAGTCGACTAACACCCAGGTACCCATTATACTGACAGGTGAACATAGACAACCATGTAAAGAAACACATCCAATGTTTCTACCCTCACCGGGAATCGAACCCGAAAAGTCACCGTGTGTGAAACGAAAACTTTAAAACCCCTAGGCCACGGGAACCATAAATTTCATATTTCTTCCTTGTTCCTCACACACGTCCCTAACTTACTCTTATATCCCTCTACCTGGAGGCGAACCATTATAAATTCGCTCAGTAAAACATTAAAAAGCAACAAATGACTCAAATAAGATTAAATAAAAATAAAAGTGATGTTTATAGACTTCTACCTAACAACACAAGTGTATATATATTATACATTAAAAATTTCCTTTATTAATATTTACAAAATCCAATAAATCCAATTTTAAACAAGTTATATAATAGAAAGTTATTTGTAAATCCGTTTAAAACCTGGCAATCTACATATATTTTTCAAGCAATAAATATTTACTTAATATCATAACCTTCCAACATTATTTTTAAACATTCTACTAAATATACACATTATTAAAAAAAAAAAACTTTTGGGGGAATCTGTGTACATTATATAATAGAGAGGTATTCAGAAACTAGTTATACCTGGCAACTCCATTATTATTTCGACTATATATAATATATAACAAATTATATAATATATATGTACCTCATATGACAGCTATATATGTATTATTTTCAATGGTTAGGATAGGATAGGACTCACAGGTAAGTACCCCCGAGGGGCGAGGGGCAAGTGGGGACAGTGCGAAGAATAGACGGTGAGAGGAATGTCTTGAGTCGAAGAGAGAAGAGTCAGGACTAGACCCAACTGCTAAGCCACAATAACATAACAAAAGACGATGTAGATACAACAGAGCTCTGCAGGCACTGACTGCAACTTGCTGGACGAAAAATTGCTGCATCTTGATGTTGATTGGCGGCTGGCAGGAGCTGGAGGGGTGGTCAAGGGAGGCAAGCTTCTTGATTGGTCAGGTGTCTTTTTTATGTGTGTCTGGAGTTACTTCGTTTCTTTCGTGAAGGAGGCATTCCTTATGTTGTGCAGTTTTTGGATGGAAACGATCTTAGTCTTGTAATCTTAGGTCGAAATGCTGGGTTGGCTAGTAACTGGTCAAAGGTCATCGGAGAGTAGTGATGAGCAGTGGGATCCCTTTAGGTTTGTAAACTTGACTCTACGGGCGATTATTTTCTTGTACAAAGTGTCGACATCCATGTTAGGTTCTTGGTCAGAAGTCGTATAAAAAGTTATATCTTTCCAGTGCAGTTTTTGATCTTGATGTTGGTCTTCTATATTAATACGTCGAGAGATAGCGGGGAGTTTTTTGGTGGTTGCCGCATGAAGGTTCTTTCAATGTTGGTGCCCCCGGGTAGAGGTGTGTAGAGACTGTGGGGGGAATCGTGGCTCTGATTGGTCCATATGAAATAGTGGTGGTGGAGGTGAAGGAGGTACGCCGCCAACCCACGAGCCAATCGACGAGGGGGAGGCGAAACGCGAATAGGAGGGGCCCTTTTTGGAGTGACGTCCACAGGGTTGGTGGTTTTTTGGAGCTGCTGATGCAGAAATGTTGATTAGACCTTGGTAAATTTGAAGTATTTTCATTTCCCAAGGTGGAGATGCTGGGAATATAAATGATGCATATTATTTAGTGCAAATAACTCGTTGATGGTAGAGTTAAAAGATCCAGGTACAGCCATATTCTGCATGTGAGCGTATAGTAACAGTAGTGGATCTTGGTTACGTCACAAGCTGGAGGGGTGATAATGGTGGGGGGCTGGCTGAGTAGTAGCTTGAAGTAATTTCGTAGTATTAGCTTGGGTCTTTGCAATTGCGCATACGT